TTAAAAATATCTCGAAACAAAATCTTAAGAAGAAGATCATCGAATGTAAACCTTAATTGTGTAATTTATAATGGTAAGGTGAATCCTCATCTTCTATATGAGAAAAGATTTCAGAACAATTAACACGACGACTCATAACCATTTCATCAATATTCTCTTTTAAATTCAGTGTAGTAAATTCTTTTCTGTACAATAGTTTCTATGAAAAAAAAATTTCTTGTGGAATTTCGATTTTCATAACAACAAAGTTTCAAAAATTGAATTCCGGAGGGTTTGTAATACACTCCCACATTTATTAAGTTTGTTAGAAACGCGGTAAATGCATCAAAATTTGACATAAACAGTGATGATGGGGTTAGTTCAGAGGCTCAGAGAAGAAATGAAAAGCCAGAAAACTCTGCAAAAAAATTCAGTTAATCAATAAAGCCTGTAATGCCACATACTAGACGATTTTCTCCATGGCCTTTGAAGTAAGATTAACTTTTCAATCATAACTGTATTTCTAAATGAAGACTTGACTGTGCATTATATGAGTGCATTCGCTGCATTATATGATTTGCGCCTACATGGATTCCTTGGTACATGCTTGATTTGTGATTTGCACTTGATTTCAGGGTTAGAAAAGCCGATTTGACACTTACAGACAATGTTTTATTACACTTTGAATTAGTCAATGGAGTACACTAGCCAATCAGCCAATTCTAGCTTCATTATCCACATGCTTTGTTGTAAGGCCTCCGTTTTCATTAGTTTCTTACACATTCATCCACAAAATTATTTATTGATAAAAGAAATAACTGGCATAAATCAATCAGTTTATGCATGTTCGCAAGACATTTTGATAGAAGAATAATGAGATTTGAAACAATGATTAAATCTTTAACTCTTTTATGGTAAGATTTCTTAGATTTTAAAAAGAGCGTGTGTCTGCAATTCATTGGAAGAAGGATTTGACACATACGACAAGTAGGACTCCTCCAGCATGATATGAACACAACTGATGTCTCTGTAATATGAGGGGTGATCACCTTTTGGGTAGTTATCACTTATCCGCAAAACTCATTTTACACCACTGAATGCAATTTCATGATTTTTTTTTTTTTAATGAATTTTTATTGCATGTGCATACTGTCATTTTGCACTTCCTGTTTTACTTTTCTCATCGGAAAAATATTTGAGATTTCCCATTGTCAACCACTTTGACACTCTTTATATAACATTCGGGTGATAGAATTTTGAATCATTTAGAGATGCAAGTAATGAAAATCGTTGCATGAGCATATTTCAGTTTCAAACTTAAATATTTATTAAAATTAAATGATAATTTAAAGGGTAATCTTTTGTGGCTGAAGAGTTCTTAAATGATGTTTGAATACATGTATAATTTATTTCAATATAAGGTTATAACAATTAAAATGTTGATAACCCTAGAATAACAAAGTTGTGTTTTTGAGTAATCTTATTTTTCAGTTTTTCTTTCTAGAATAATAATGTTTAGTTATTAATTGCACACTGTGGTCTACTTAACTCATAGACGAGAAAGTTACAAGTAAAATAGGTCCCCCCCCCCACGCACTCTGATAATGGTGAAATAATGGCAGATGAAACCGTCCACCCTCTGACGTGTCACATTAATAAAAGAAATTATCTGATCAGGAATTCTTACTTCTAAATGCTTTTGTGGACTGAAAATCTTTATATAATGTTATACAAGTAAATGTTGAAGGAAATAAATATTGATTTTATTTAATTAACTTGAGCTTTCCATAAAAGAACATATACGTGAAACTGTGGGCACAGTTAGCTGGCCTTTCACCGGTTAACGTTTATACAGTTAACTTTTAAAAGTTTATACAAGGTTTTTGGTGTTGAATGTCTAACAATGTCGTTTTACCTTGCTATATTATTCTATCATTGCATAATTTGTCATGAAAAAAATAAATTAAAAAATAATGATTTTTCATTTTCAAAAAAAGTAACAACAATTCAAAAGTCGCTATGCTTTGTACTGTATTTTATCTTGCTATAGTAAGTCATTCATGATGTAAAAAGGTAAAGATAATGCACTGTGATCGATCTAAAAAAAATTATCCATAAACAATATAAATATATGCGGAAGGCACAAAAAACAGGACCACTGGAAACTGCAGAAGCTGGATCCGGTACCTAGGGGAAAGCATCCCTTGTTGATTTGTCACACTCTACGTATATAGTAATCAAGTAGACAGAACTATATATCCGTGGTCATTTCCGTATATAGACAAAGGCCTAACAATTGGTATGACACAACTTATCCTAAGTACGAACCAACGATGGGTTATATTTGCTAGTTTCTCCTTCACAGCAGTTAATATTTAGTAAGGAGTAAAGATATTGGCTTAGTAGAGTATTTCCTGTATCATTGTTTGTAAGGATTTTTTATGAAACTCAGGAATCTTAAAAGTATAAAACAATGCAAAATGATTTTGAAGAATTAGCCAAGCAGCTATTGGCGGACAAGTTAATGAAACAAAGCTATCAGCTGTCTCATTTATAGTCATCATTTCGCAAGTTCTATGGTCGATTAATAACCTTGTCAGCAAATGAATCTATCAGCAAGTCAAATGCTGAATGACGTTTTCTCATACTAATTGCAAGGCCTACACACTGAATTGTCTTTAGTACCTTTTTTTCGACCAACACATGTACAAGAAGCACATGGCGGGCGTGACCGCTCGGCAGAGGATGCTTATATTTATGGCACGCCAAATTCACAAAAATGAGCTAATCATAGTTTCACAGTCGATAAACTAGGTTTATCGGTTGTAAACTATAGTTTACGGACTGTAAACTATAGTTAGTAACGTTAATCTATATTTTACATCTGTAAACCATAGTTAACGCGATAATCTATGTTTCACAACCGTAAACTATACTTAACACCGAAAACGATCATTTGCGATTGCAAAACATAGATTATCTGATAAATACAGTTTCACGATTTGTAAACTATAGTTTACAAACCGTTAACTATATAGTTAACGATCTGATAAATATAGTTTCACAATTTGTGAAACTATGATTAACAACTCTTAACTATAGTTTACGATTGTAAACTATAGTTTACAAACGTGAATCTATGTTTATCAGCAAAATCTATTGTTAACGCTTTATTCAGACAGATAAACTTAGATTAACATTCGTAAACTATAGTTAACGACCGTTAAATATAGTTTTACAGATGAAAACTATACTTAACGAATCGTTAACTATACTTAACGAATCGTTAACTATAGTTTACGGTTTGTATACTATAGTTTACAGTCGATTAGCTGCAGATCTGTAGCTCTCCGAAAAAAATATATTGATAGACCGGAGAGCTACAGTGCCACCCATTGAAAAAACTGTATATTTATTGCGCACAAAAAAGTGCGCTCGGTTCTCGATTTATTTCTCCATGTTTTTAAAAATGTAATCTCAAAATATTACTAACCGTGTGTTCCTAACATATTCTTTCGCTGTTTCCACAACCAAACTTTTCTCATAATTGTTGTTAATAGTCCTCCTGACCCTGATATTGTAAACATCGAACATTTCGCTTATTTATACTGCCAGTTTGGTTTCAAAGATAATTCGGTCTAATATGCTTCGTTCGGATGTCAACTACGAGAATACTTGATAGAAGATAAAGGAATTTTTTGAAATCTTTCCTTATCTGCAGTTGAGGTAAGAATTTGGAAGAGTTGATTATAAGAACTGAGCGCACTTTTTTGTGCGCAATAAATATACAGTTTTTTCAATGGGTGGCACTGTAGCTCTCCGGTCTATCAATATATTTTTTTCGGAGAGCTACAGATCTGCAGCTAACAGTCGATAAACCTAGTTTATCAATTGTGAAACTAGGTTTATCTCATTTTTGTGAATTTGGCGTGCCATATATATTCCATGCCATTTTATCCCAACTCTCATTAATTTATAGGTCCATGTTTGCTTTGCTTTCTTTTTACATAGGTTCGATGGACTTTTGAACTTGGTTACTGTTCGTTAACTCTGTTTTCCAAGTTTTTTCACAACTATATTTTATTCATGGGGTTTCGATATTTAAAAATCTTTAATTTCCTTCATTTGATATGGATGTATTTAAAAAATCATGTGATTTAATTTATAAAAAATGAATATTTTTTTAAATCTTTTTTTTTTTTTATTCAGATTTTTTTTTACATTGAAAGAAAGAAAGAAAAACACGTAGATAATGCTTCCTCCTGGGAATGCTGCCAGTATATCGGTATTTGTCACTTTGTTATTGTAGAGAATTAATGTGTATTTCAAAAGGTCTTAGATTCATTGACACCAATACAGCATTAGCCTATGTCCAAAACATCGGATTCAAAGTACAATGAGTTGAATGACCCCATAAGTAACAGTCAACACTCTAATGTCCAATGTATAATGTATTCGTAAATATATTTGTTACTGTGTGTTATTAAATACAAAGTTTCCAGCATGATAATTGTTCATGTAAATTTTGTATTCAGTAAAGTTAGACTGCCTTTGTGGTCTTCTATCATGCCACCTGGATTAGTGCTGATAAATAAATAAATAAATAAATAAATATGTGAATATATAATGAATAAATTTATATATAAAAAAATAAACAGATAAATAATTAGGTACTAAATAAACTTAAGTTAATGTTTTCTATGAATTTCAAGACATTAATTTAATAATTTAGAAACATTATAAATGATAACAAATTGGTGCATGTACTGTACAAAGAGAAATAACTCAGTATGATAGCTGTAATCAAGGATATACATGTATTCCCTGTCCTGACGAAGATCCGTGGCGCGGAGCATAAGTCCATAAGACACATAAGTCCACACTAAATGACTGACATCAAATTAATTAAAACTTTGAATGCAATAAATAAAATTGATAAAATTAATACATTTCATATTTCGAGTTTTACCCTTGAGTTCACTCAGAGGTAAATGCGGAAGTCTCTACCCAAAATTCCAAATGTACATGACGTCACGCCTGAGTGCTCGGGAAGAGTGCGCCATATTGAATTGGGGAAATAGCGACTGAATAAAATCAAGTATCATCCATGTTGAATATAATGAAATTTGCAATGTAAGGAGATGTAAATGGGATTGTATGAGGTGTATGGTCCTATTTGTAAACTTAATATTTGCTTATCATGGCAGGTAAGATTTTTTTCTTGCATTGACCCCCACGATTGAAAGATTGTTTATTATTTTGTAAGTAATACACTGCACTAAATTCATACATTTTACATTAAACAACTATTCTTTATATATTTGAAGGAAATGGTGGAGATATTCAGTGGTGCTTCTCGCAAGTGAAGGGTGCCATAGAGACTGAAGATGTCACTGAAGGTAACGATCTCTACATCGAGTGCTCATTTCCGGAAAGCGGGGGCCCCTGATTTCCAGTAGCAAAAATTGAGAACTAATAGGTTGTCTGGACAAGAATACATCGTTTACGTGTAAAATTTTAATAAGATTTAGTTGTGTATACTAACACCAAAGGATAAACGCCTGACGCAGACAGCAGATGAGAGTATAGATGATATTATGATATGAATAAATTACGGACATCTAAATTCATAAATAAGTATCGTCCTTTTATGAAATTAATAAATTTATAAGCTTTCAATGAAACTTTCACCAGTTTGCTTGAACAGTAGGGGATTCGATACTGAGTGAATTAGCAGAATTTTAGTTTTCCTCTGGTTCCATACTCGCAATGTCTTGGATGGAACAACCCACCATTTTGGGATTCTTGTGGTGGGCCAAGTCTTGTGTCAGAAAGCGAATCAATCTCTTCTTCTTAAATGACAATTCAGGAAATCTTCAACACAAATTTTCTAAATAACTGAAGGAGCTTAAAATCTTTTAAAACTCTAAAAGTAGCATGGCAGTGGTTGCGTATCAGACTTGTCCATTTTCCTGGTATTTTCATAACCTCTGCAATTTCCCCCTCTGAATTAGCTGTGTAAGTTTAATGTGAGATTTCCCAAATGTTGCATTTTCAGCATGAATGAAAGAGCAGCAATAATAACTTAATGCTTTATACAGTGCTGTATTAAAACTGGGAAAACTTTTTTTTGATTGAAAATGTTCTACGACCCTTGAAATATATTTGAAGAACATTATTGGGGAAAAATGTTTGAAAATAATTGTGTTTAATGAATTACTCTAGGTTATATAATTGTATGAATGCATGAAGATAATAAGTGTGTCACATGTATTATGAGGTTGTACCTACAAACATCTTGACATTACAGCTGATATAATTTCCTGTGTGGAGTTTAACAGTACGGGGGATTTACTAGCAACAGGAGACAAAGGGGGACGTGTCGTCATTTTCCAGCGAGATAAAGCTGTAAGTACCGATAGTACTCACATTAAGGACCGAAAGTACTAGCATTATAGCAAGATAAAGCTGTAAGTACCAATAGTACTCGCACAGACTCCTAGGATCCATCCATCCAAACAGATTTTCAGTTCTACGATTTAATATTTTTCCCATGGCATCTAACTTTGCGATCTGCTGAATAACTTCTTCTTTATATAATTTTTTTTGGTTGATAAACAAATGTTAGAAAACAATTATACAGAGGTTATAAATCTGAAACTCCTGTCCAGAAACTTAGGAGTGTGTTCCTTGTGTCTTGTTTGCTTTTTCACACTAAGAAACACTTGAATGTATACAAAGCATTAGCATTAGTGAATTAAATCATGAAGATAAACAGGGACCAACCTAGACCCAAAATTTAGGGAGACTTCACTTCTCCCTCAGAGAAATTTAGGGAGACTTCTTGGCGCACCTGATGCCCACTGATCATTACAAAACTTTTTCAAAATGAAACTGTTTCTTTGTTTATAACTTAAAATACATTTCAATAATTTTTCTGTATTGACATCCTAATACAGCAAAACTCGCTTAGTACGAACACGGATATTGCGAATTTACGGATATAGCGAAGTCATCTTGGATCCCCAGCTATATAAATTTAATGAATTTCTTATACGGTTATAACGAATTACGGATATAGCGAAGTAATTTCATAGGTCCCTGTGACTTCGTTATAACCGAGTTTTGCTGTAAAAATTATTTTAAAAAGAGAAAGGGAATTTGAATTTTTTTCCAATTACAAGGTATATCTAGCAAAAAAAAATCCAATGGCAATGTAATTTTTTTTTCATTTCTTGCATGATATGCACAATTAACATTTAAATTCTATCACATTTTAAATTTTCAGCCTCATTGCATCTAAGTCATAATTTTGTTATTTTCTCTTTCTCAAAATTTGTTTTCAATATTAATTTTTTTTTCTGAAAAAAGTTTTGATGTACTACGTACGTATGCTGATTGAACTCTGTATATCAGATGTGTAATTTGTTAGACTGTCAATAACTCCACAAATTAACAGTAAAAATATGTCTATATTCACAGCATGAATTAATTATTTGGCAATAAAAAGATGTAAAATCATCTTCAACATGGTTGGCATGATATCGATAGCTGACCAGCTGTTTTGCGTCTGGTTGTGCATAACTTGTAACAATGGACTTTTTCATACCCGGAAGCTTAAAATCTAGAGGAGTCCCGACAGAGTATTCGATCCTTTGGTCATTGGTAGCGAAACAGGTGCAAGTGTCCTGCTGTTTTGTTTATTTCAGCAGTAATAAAACAAGATTTATAAACTACTGACGATTCTACCATGTTTCTTAATAGATTTTTTATGATTTTTAATAAAGGGTTTGCAAATGTTAAGGCGACTTAAACTTCGCTTTCATGATAAATTACGGCGAAGTTTGGAGCCCAAAAGCGACTATTTCGCCTCAGTCGCCCCCTAGGTTGGTCCTTGGATAAATCTGTATTTTTTTTAAATTGATTTAATATCAGGTATATTGACAGGTAATATGGCTGGTTTAAGTGTTGTAATTTTGTATATATTTTAGGGAAAAATTGCGATACCACCACGAGGAGAGTACAATGTATACAGCACATTTCAAAGTCATGAGCCTGAGTTTGACTACCTCAAAAGTTTAGAGATTGAAGAGAAAATAAACAAGATACGATGGTTAAAGAGATCTAATCCAGCCAATTTCTTACTGTCAACTAATGGTTAGTCAAAATATTATTTATATCTTAACCAGATTTGAGATCAAATTCCACAGAAAATCCATTTTAAGAATGGTACATTAGCCAAGAAATCAAATCAAGAAATACCTGGCTTGTAAGGAATTTTCCAGATAGGAATCTTTCTCAATATTTAGACATTTTCAAACTCCCTTCAGCTAACCTTTGGTCTCTGTTAACATTTAAGCCTAAAAGAAATTAGAAGTGCCTGAAATGTAGAAGTTGTTTTAGCCAAATTAAATACAAGTCTGGGAATTTTCACTAATCTGGGGAAGGAAAACAAAATATCTGCATGAATGAATGCATACTACATGATAAAAATTAGAATAAAATGAAAATATGCCATGTAAGGTAATGCACAACAATTGAATTAAAATATCATTGAATTGTAATTGACAATTAGAGAATTGAGAATCAAATCATAGGACTCTACGTTACATGCAACTTGTGCTATTCCAAATTTTTACAAGTTTTGAATGCTGACTTGGTGAATATATTCCCCCTTTGTGTTATAATTGTGACCTATTTAATGGTAGCCTGAGATAACGTCTATATATTCTCTCCAGATAAGACTATTAAGCTGTGGAAGGTGACGGAGAGAGACAAGCGACCTGAGGGGTATAACCTGAAGGATGAGTCGGGCCTGATGAGGGACCCCAATAATGTGACCAGCCTCAGGGTGCCCAGTTTTAAACCCATGGAACTGATGGTGGAGGCCAGTCCCCGCCGAATCTTCGCCAACGCCCACACTTACCACATCAACTCCATCTCCGTCAATAGCGACCAGGAAACCTACCTGTCAGCTGACGACCTACGTATTAACCTTTGGCATTTAGAGGTCACAGACCAAAGCTTCAGTATCCTTTATCTCGCACATGTATACAGAATTGTTATTATTTAACATGTGATGTTTTTGGGGGGAGCATTGTCCTATGCTTATGTGTGTTTTGCTACTATGAAGTGCAGTATTTATAGCCACATCATTATTGGTCCATTAGATTGATTTTGAAGGATAACAAACCTGACTTTTGAATTTTTCACATATTTAGCTGGGGTAGACCTGACACTTGTAGAAAACTGCAGCTTTGCAATTTCCATGCAAACTTATGAAAAATGTAGTCCTTAATAGGACACATCTAAAATTGAATGAAAATCTAGATAAAAAAAATATTTTTTTCTGTAGAAAGGTAGCTCTTTGAGCTAGAGAAAAGCCATAACTACCCATATAATAATACATAGATTAAATGCATAAATTTTCACTAATTTTTGCTATTTAACTCCTACTCCCCACCCCAATTCTCAGCAGCGGCCTCTGTTTATTTTTAAGTCTCCATTATCTAATCCATTTTGCTGAGCAATATGTCAAACTTGTGTCTGTAGACAGTTGTTCTCCTCTCTTTTGTATATTATAAATGCATGTAGATACTCCATTAAATTATTTACAGTCACTTAAAGGAGCTTGTTTAATCTACTGACTTTTTACTTGGGAAGTGATTTTACTGCTGCTGTTAGCCAATGGGCTATTGCTTGAAAAAAAGGGAAATGTGGTTCTGAGAAGTAGAGTTATTGCTCTTTTGCTATTGAAAAATGATTTGTCCTTGACTTTGTAAGATATTGTGGACATAAAGCCTGCCAATATGGAGGAGTTGACAGAAGTGATAACTGCTGCCGAATTTCATCCACACGAATGTAACTTGTTTGTCTACAGCAGTAGTAAGGGCACTATACGCCTCTGTGATATGAGGGAGCAGGCATTATGTGATAAACACGCTAAATGTAAGTATAATTTCTTCAAATTTTTTTTAGAAACAAAATTCAACAGTTACAATATATATATAGATAAATTGGTTTTATTTAACGTCACTAAATTTTTGACACAATTTGCAAATGGTAAAAACACCTATCAAAGAAGAGATTAATTCTGCTGTTGTGATTGCAAAATGACTATATACATTTTGATTTCTTTTAACTAGAAATTAAAGTTGATGGTAGGATGTATATTAATTTCAGTGTTTGAGGAGCCAGAAGACCCCACCAATAGGAGTTTCTTTTCTGAGATTATTTCTAGTATATCGGATGTGAAGTTTAGTCATAATGGACGTTATATGGTGACACGAGACTACTTGTCCATCAAAGTCTGGGACTTGCTGATGGAAACAAAGCCAATAGAAACGTATCAAGTTCACGAGTACCTCAGGAGTAAATTATGTTCTCTCTATGAAAATGACTGTATATTTGACAAATTTGAATGTTCATGGAGTGGAGATGATAGGTAAAATTTTATTTTATTGTGATTTTGTGTAAAGTTTGAAATTGTTTGGGAGAAAGTCCTAAAAATTTTACCCCCCCCCCCCAAAAAAAAAATGAAGATTGGATAAGTACACGGGCTATCTTATAATGATTTTGGACACTCTACTCAGTTGATCAATTATATTCTTTTGTTTTTCAGGCACATTATGACAGGATCTTACAATAATTTCTTTAGAATGTTTGACCGTGAAGCCAAAAGGGACACAACTCTGGAAGCATGTAGAGAAAACATGAAACCACGAACAATTTTAAAACCGCGTAAAGTATGCACCGGTGGCAAGCGTAAAAAGGAGGAAATAAATGTGGACTGTCTAGACTTCAATAAAAAGATCCTCCACACCGCCTGGCACCCGTTAGAGAACATCCTGGCCGTAGCAGCTACCAATAACCTTTATATCTTCCAAAGTAAAGATTAACGCAAGGAAAATTAGGAGGATTTAACAAATTGCTGGCATGGTGGTGCACGTGGAAGATTGGGCAGTTTCACCCGGGGAAACAGTGAACTGGTGAAAAATCAGCTTAGCAATATTTTTGTACAAATTTTTAGTTGAGACAATGATGTTGATGATGGAAAAGGAATATTTTCTGCAACCTGAATTGTACAAGTTTGCATAATTCCTCACTAGTGCTATAAACTTCCAAGTGGTAATTACCATGTATAACTGTGTTGATGCATCTGTTCTGTTAGACCAAAGCCTTCCCATGTCTGTTCTGGTGCATTTTTGTATTGCATTACAAGTGTTAGGTTCGTCAGATTGTGGTTAGTTTCTAGTCACAGTATACTAAAGCCTAACGCGGACATTTTGTGGCTACACACATGATGTAGGTGCAATAAGATGCCATGAAGTTGTAATTAGAGATGATGCAAATTTACACAAACATTCCTTACTATTATAACTGCATATATAAACTTGCCATATGATTTTTACCCCCTAAAGTGCTAAAGTAAAATTTATTTGCTCATGGATGCTCAATATGTATTAAAAGTGCTGGCATTATTATTTAAAAAAAAACAACATTACATATTTTTTTTGTTTACATAGTACAGTTGTATTTGATAACAATGATAATAGTACGGAGGTGAAATTGATATCCATAAAAGATAAACTCTACCATTCCACAGAGAGATGCAATCAAAGGTTAACTGTCCATAGCATTCAACACTTCTTGTGATCAAAATACTCTTTATTCTTTATTGATCAATCTCTGTATTTTGTATGAAGGAAAGTCGATGTGGTTAATTAAATTATAATGAGAGAATTGGTTGATGTAAATTATATGTGTTCTGACATTGTCCTGTTTTAGTACAATTATGACAATAATGACGGGTTATATGATGACCTGAAGAAATGTTATTCAATATTAAACTATTGTTATTAAATGACCTTGAGTTTTATTTTTAAATACCTTGTGCATTGGAACATATTGAAATCATGAAGATGCATTAGGGATTTGCTTTGCTTTTGAATGAAATCAAACCAAAATGTATCTAGTGTTGACACATATTGTGGAGATATTAAAGTCAAACTTCGTTATCTCGAACCTGATGGGACTGAGAAAAAACTTCCAGATATCTGAGGATTCGAGATAAATGACAAAGGCAGTGGTATGTCCTGAGCTTGATCCAAGGTCACTGGCATACAAGTGTGACATCAAAGTAGTTTTATGTACAAATGGAGAAACATTGCATGTCCATATTTCATTGAAAGATTTATACTTGCTGGTAGAGAAAGCCTTATTTTAACCAAGGTCTTTTTAGCAGGTTCAAGGTTACATTTTTACAAAATTTGAGGAGGAACTTTAAAAATAAATTGTGGCAGGTATTATTTTTGAGCTTGCACACAATAGTTAAACGGGAACTGTAAATTAAGTGTAAAAAAAAAAAACATGTACTTCTAATATTCTGCCATATATTGATCAGAGTTGCCTGGACTCATTGTACATGTTCCAGTCAGGTTGGGTACTATAGGCGTGTCTGAAACTTTTAATGCTGTATCTGCTCTGGATTCTGGTTTTAAGTTTTTTTAATATAATATATATGGCCAAGGGGAAACAAACATTGTGAATTTCATGGTACGTGTCCCATGACCCCAAAAATAACAGTTATTGAGTAAAGTTAATTATATTTGTTGACATTCTTAATTACTTTCAAGTCTTGAATCATTTTTTTAGATTAAGGGGTTTCATATCTCTATAACTCTCTAATCTTGAAATTGAGACAGGACGACAAAGTCAACAAGATGTGTTTGTGAAACACTGATGCCCCTGTATGGCAACACAGCAAAGATTAAACTTTTCTTACGTTTAACATTTTGGTACCAAAAGTAGGGTATTCTCACTGGAAATATAATTGTGAAATATGAAAGTTTTTCCTAAGTACGGAAATCTTTAAGGTCATTGGTATCCAATGAAAAATTTGCCACAAAAAAAAATAAATATGTAAATTATGGAAGCCCTAGCCCTAACCGTTCAGAAGTTATGGCTAAGGTTAAAAAGTAGGTCAAACTCCAAGGTCAAAGGTCTTGCTATCAAATGAAAGGTCTTGTCACAAGGACTAAATATGTGAAGTATGAAACACTAGCCCCAACCCTTTAAAAGTAATGGTCAAGATTTGCTTTTTAAAACTAGGTCAAACTCCAAGGTCAAAGTTCTTGGTATCCAATGAATGGTCTTCTCACAAGGATTACATAAGTGAAGTATGAGATCACTAACCCTTAGCTTTCAAAAGTTATGGCCAAGGTTAAAGTTTTTTATCAGTACAGAAATCTCCAAGGTCAAAAGGTCGAGGTAATTGGTATCCAATGAAAGGTCTTGTCACATAGAATATATAAAGTATAGAAGCCCTGGCCCTAATCGTTCAGAAGTTATGGTCAAGGTTAAAAATTTTTTTAAAGTAGGTCAAACTCCAAGGTCAAAGGGTCAAAGGTCTTACTATCAAATGAAAGGTCTTGTCACATGGATTAGATATTTAAAGTATTAAAGCATTAGCCCTAACCCTTTAAAAGTTATTGTCAAGGTTTGCTTTTTAAAAGTAGGTCAAACTCCAAAGTCAAAGGGTAAAAGTTTTCGGTATCCAATGAAAGGTCTTTTCACAAGGATTACGTTAGTGAAGTATGAAAGCCCTATCCCTTACCTTTCAAAAGTTATGCCCAGGGTTAAAGTTTTTTCACAAGTACGAAAATCTCCAAGGTCAAAAGGTCAAGGCTAATGGTATCCAATGAAAGGTCTTTCAATAAAGAATACATATGTGAAGTATAAATGTCCTGGTATCTACTGTTCAAAAGATATGGCCAAGTAAAAGTTTGGAATTTTTGTGAAAAAAGGGTCAAACACCAAAGTCAAGGTCAAAAGGTCAAATTTGGTGGTACCCAAAGAAAGGTCTTATCACAAGGAATATACAAATGTGAAATATGAAAGTCATAGCTCCACTAAATCAAAAGTTATGGCAAGGTTAAAGTTTTTTGCGGACAAACAGACAGACAGAGAGGCAGACAGACGGACGGACACGACACAAACTATATACCCCCGAAACTTCGTTTACGGGGGCATAAAAAGAAACAAGACGTGTTTGTGAAACACTGATGCCCCCGTATGTCAACATAGTGAAGGTTAAACTTTCTCAAATGCAAATGATATCCAAAGTAAGGCCTTTGACAAGAAATACAACTTTGAAATATAAAAGCCCTAGCACAACCTGTTCAAAAGTTATGGCTAAGGATAGAGTTTTTTAAGCGTAGGTCAAGTTCAAGGGCAAAAGGTCAAAGTTGTTGGTATCCAATGAAAGGTTTTGTCACAAGGATTACATATAGTGTATGTGAAATATGAAAGTCCTTACCGTTCAAAAGTTATGGCCAAGAATAAAGTTTAGTATTTTTGTGTAAAAGTAGATCAATCTCCAAGGTCAAAGTTCTTGCTATTTAATGAAAGGTCTTGTCACAAACAAATTCAATACATATGTGAAGTATGAAAGTCCTAGCACCAACCGTTCAAAAGTTGTGGCGAAAGTAAAAGTTTAGTATTTTTGTATTAAAGTGTGTCAACCTCTAAGGTCAAGGATAAAAGTTCAAATTTGATAGTACCCAAAGAAAGGTCTTGTAACAAGGAATCCACCTGTGAAATATGAAAGCCATAGCCCCACCCAATCAAAAGTATGGGCAAGACTTAAGTTTTTGCGGACTAATAGATAGACGGACGGACAGGGCAAATTCTAAATAATCCAGAATATTTGATTATAGGGGCATAAAAAGTAGGAAGAACTGAATTGGTAGAATGTGTAAAAGTTACTTTATCATAGAGTTTGCAATGTCCATCTTCGATCTATCTGCCTAGCTGTTTATCCGACGCACGTTGCTTTTAGCTCGGTTCAAAGCTCAGTCTTAAATAAAACAATTCATGATTTTTTTATGCCCCCGTAATCGAAGATTCGGGGGTATATACTTTTTGTCTGTCTGTCTCTGACTATCTATCTGTCTGTTTGTCCGCAAAAAAATCTAACCTTGCCCATAACTTTTCATTTAGTGGAGCTATGACTTTCATATTTCACACGTGTATTCCTTGTCACAAGACCTTTCTTTGGGGTACAACCAAATTTGACCTTTAACCTTGATTTGGAGTTTGACACACTTTTAACACAAAAATTTCATACTTTTACTTTGGCCATAAATTTTGAACGCTAGATACTAGGACTTTTATCCTTCAAATATGTATTCTTTGAGACAAGACCTTCTATTGGACTTCAACAACTTTGACCTTTTCACCTTGACCTTTGAGATTTTCGTACTTTAAGAAAAAACACATCTTGTTTTATCCAACTTCATATGCTAATTCATACCGATGCAGTATGCATCAACATTTTTTGACTTTGACCTTTCCTTTGATACTGACCTTACTTTTTTAGCTTTGGGGTATATAGTTTTTGTCCTGTCCGTCTGTCTGTCTGTTTGTCCACAAAAACTTGAACCTTGTCCATAACTTTTGAGTGGGTTGGGCTATGGCTTTCATGTTTCACAGGTGCATTCCTTGTGACAAGACCTTTTTCTGGGTTCCACCAAATTTGACCTCTTGACTTTGACCTTGAAGTTTGACCTACTTTTACAAAAAATACCGCACTTTCACTTTGGCCATAACTTTTAAACGGTTGGATCTCGGCTTTTCATACTTCTCATTCGTATTCTTTGTGACAAGACCTTTCATTGGATTCCAACAACTTTGACCCCTTCACTTTATATTGGTAGATTGATCTTCTTTTTAAAAAAAATCTTTAACCTTGGCCATTACTTTTGAACGGTAAGGGCTATGGCTTTCATACTTCACATATATAATCCTGTCAAGACCTTTCCTAGGATACTTACAACTTTGACCCTTTGACCTTGACCTGGGAATTTATGTACTTGTAAAAAACTTTAACCTTGGCCATAACTTTTGAACAGTTAAAGCTAGGGCTTTTATACATCAAATATGTAATTCTTGTGACAGGACCTTTCATTAGAAATCAACAACTTTGACCCTTTGATCTTGACTGGGGAGATTGACCTACTTAAAAAGAAACTTTTGAAAAGGTGGTCCTAGGGCTTTGATATTTCAAAATTGTATTTCTTTTGAGAAGGCCTTATTTTGTGTATATATTAATATAATTAATTTGCATTTGAGAAAGTTTAACCTTCGCTATGTTGCCATACGGGGGCATTGTTACAACGCAATTTGAAAAATTACGCACTTTGAAAAAAAAATTTCACACACACATCAACGCACTTTGAAAAAATAAAATTTCATTTCAAAGTGCGTTAATATCGACCATATTAACGCACTTTGGAAAAAGTGTATGGCTTGGTCAATATTCTTGCAAATCTTAGGTATGATAAATAATTGAACCTGTTTGATAACTCTTCGGTGATGAGGTCACTTCAGGATGTGAAAGTGAGCGATTTTGATTTTTCCATACTTTGAAAATTCTTTCTCTCTTTTTTTTTTCGAAAGATATAATTATTACAAATTGATTCTCTCTATTATTAAAATCTAAGACTAGAATTTTTTGTTTCATGCATATTTTATTTCAAAGTGCGTTAAACTTGGTAAAATATGTTAATGTAAATAAGGTACATTGATACTCTGATAAGAGAGATAACTCTTAATGACACAAATGTCTATTATTCCTTTAAAAATCTGTCAAGTTGAAGTGCCTTTTTGATTGTGCCCCGCAAGCCATAAAATTGTTTATATTTTATTTAGCATATACTTTTCTTTTGGAAAATCATAAAAGTTAAAGAAACATTTTATTTGAGTAAGCAGAGGGTTTATATTAACGCACTTTGAAATTTTTTTTCAAAGTGCGTTGAATGTGTCCCAATTTTAACGCAATTTGAAAAAAAAATTCAAAGTGCG